TAATTAGATTAATAATTATTTATTATTTATTTATTAATATGATTAATTAAATATATATATATATATTAATTATTATTATTAATTAATAATATTAACTTATATATTTATTAATATTTAATTAACTTTTTATTTATAAATAAGCAAATCAAAAGTAACTTAAAAGCTGGTATGCGGGGAACGAAGACTTGCCAGAATTTTCTGATATGTGGGCAGAAACAGGAACTTAAATTCCGAGTAAGGTTGGCCTATAAGGGAACATCTTTGGGGTTGCTAGAATTTTCTGTTTTGAAGAATGGGGCAGGAGCATGGATTAAAATTCCTTGTAGGGTTGGGCATTAGGAGAACATCTCTGACCTCACCTCTCTCGGTTGTTATCCCTGCAGCCAAAGGACATCACCAAACACAACCATTTGATTTTGGACATAATCGAATATAAGGTGGGTTATGGCTCCCTTCCCCTCTTTTGGAAGGCTGTTTGGCTCAATAATGAGCCCCTTTCTCGCACCAACCCCTCCTATTTGCCTTACATACCAAGAAAGAAGGTTGTGTGAGAGATTATTGGTCCCTGGAAAGCAAGTCATGGACATTCGTTTTAGAAGGAACCTTAAGGATGTTGAAATTGTGGAATTGACTGATCTTCTTCATACTTTTTGTCTCTCATCCAACTCTCCTCAACCAGGGATTCCATTTTTTGGCGTTTAGAATCGAATGACTCCTTCACCACCAGCTATGTAATGAAGGATATGCAAAGCCCCATTGCATCTTCTTCATCGACCGAATTATATAGGGTCATTTGGAAAGACTCCTATCCCGAAAAGATTAAATTCTTCCGTTGGGAAACTTGCCTTCTTCCTTTGAACACACATGACAAGCTTCAACGTGGAATGCCTTACATGCAACTCTCTCCTTATTGGTGTGCTCTTTGTAAAAATCACAGGGATCTATTGGTTACCTTTTTGTCTCATGTGATTACACTTATGGGCTTTGGAACAAAATCCTCCCCCTCTTTGGATGGTCAGTTGCTCTCCCTACTGATATGCCCCCTTTTCTTGGCCTCTACCCTCATTGGTCATCCGTTCAAGAATGAGAAAGAGGTGTATCTAGCTACATTTTATACGGGCTATACTTTTGATTGTTTTGTTGGAAAGAAATTGGAGGATTTTCCAAGCTAAGGAATGCTCTCTTCATCATTCTTTCGAAGCTATAGTTTTTTACTTATATCTTGGTATAAATGCTCTGCCCTTTTTCATCATTATAGGTTTGCATCTTTGTTATACAATTGGAGAGCTTTTTTGTGACCCATATTGGGTTCTCTCCCTCCTTTTGTAATCTTCCCCCTTTTATTTCATTTGATGGATTAGTAGTATGGTGAAGAATACTCGAGCCTCTTTTAGTAAGTTTGATGATGCTTTCATATAGAATTGTCAAGTCTAATGATGCTTTCAAGTAAGATTAATTTGTCTTTCCTTTCCTTTCATTCTATTTGATTCGGCAGGTAAATGAGACGTCGTATTAGCATCAACATAAGACCCAGAGAAGGAGCCTTAACTCTATCTAAATCCCAATTGTTGCTTTCTTTATGGAACTTTACTCTCTACTATAACTGAAGATACTATTTCACTTCATTGTATATGAATTTATGTGATGAAGATTTTACAAATATTTGGGAACAAACATATAGTAGCAAGAGAGTATTTATAAATAATAGTGTTATGATGGATTTATTTTAAAAAAAATGATAAGTTTTGTACATGCGTACTTAATTTTTATTTTTTATTTTTGGTAATAGATGTGCATGCTATAGAGGCCTTAGGTGGGGAATGAGAAGTGGATAAATTAAAATTCACATGGTGTTTCAGATGAGGACAATGAACATCATTTCAATTGTATCGTTCTTATTGAAAGAAAAAAAGAAATAATATAAAGTAATAGGGCTATCATAAATAAATTGTTAAATACCGTCTATTGCTTCGGAAGCATTTTGTGTTTATTCTGTTCTTGTATGTTAAGGAGTTTTTTCTGAGACCACAGTAGTTTAAAATGATTTCATGTCTCCATCGATTTCTATTAACTAGTATTTTATAATCTTTGTATCTGTAGGTTAAAACAACAAAACAAGGATATCTCTTGAAACGCTCTTCAGGTTCGAGGGGAGATTGGAAAAGGAGGTTTTTTGTACTTGACAGTCAGGGTGCTCTATATTACTATAGGAACAAGGGAAGCAAATATGTGGTATGTTTAGTTGTTACGTTGGTACATTTGCATGGGATATTTTCTATAAAGCAAACTTTTAATTATTGCATTTGCAGCATCCTGACTTCCAGCAAGGCAGCAACTAAGTAAAATATCTCAAAGATTAACTTTTAGTGGAACGTGTTTGTATATATGCGCTTCACAAAAGAAGCCTTTATTTTCTTGTGTTTCACACTTAAGTCCTAAAGGTCTATTGCACTTTGGTGCGCTTTGTGCCTTAAAAAAACTGTTCTAAGTGGATCCCATGTACTTGAGTTGTAAGACAAATAATTGTTTGTAGCATGGGAGACGGTGTATTTTTTGTGGTTTAAGTTTTTATAAGAATAGGAACAGAACCATTTTGATGGAGTGTTTTAGTTGTTATTTTAAGGTTTTCCTTTAAGATATAGCTTTCAAGCTTTGTTCTTTAGTTAGTTATTAGTTACTACACAGTAACTAACTTTTACTGTTTTGTGAGTTGTTAGCCAAACTCTATAAATAGAGGCTGATCTCTTAATAAAAGATATCTTTCAATCTCTTCAAGAAACCATTGTGTTTGTGTACATCAAGTTGGTATCGGAGCACCCAAATTTCTGGGCACCAAATGGCGGGAAAGAAGTCGATCACCGGTGACTCTTCCCTCATCAACAAAGAAATGGAGCAACCCTCCATTCTCTCGCCACGATCGTCAACCGAACGCTTGCTGTTGGTTGAAAGGGAGGTGAAAGCCATCCAACAGGATGTTGGCGAGATTAAACACATTTTGGAGATTATACATGAGAAACTCGAAGCTTTAAGTGTGGAACATTCCCCGGTCCGACGCACCACAGGACAACAAGAAAGATTGGATCAAGAAGTACAGAGGGAGGATCGAAGACATTTATTTCAGCAAGAACGGCAAGCCGATCCACTAAGAAGACCACAAACAATCCGTTTGGGTCCAAGAAACCTCCAAGAACCACGACATTTCAATCAAGAACTGAACCAGAATCCTTTGTTTCAGCGGCGGAATGAGTTCAATGCGGATTCTTCCAGTGAGGAGGAGGAAGAACTATTTGCCTTTGAAGGTGACAGGTTTGGTAGATATCCTAACCCACATAGAAACCAAGATAGTAATGAATACAAGATGAAAATTGATCTACCTACCTTTAATGGTAAAATGGATATTGAAGGGTTTCTTGATTGGGTAAAGAATGTCGAAAATTTTTTTGGTTACATGGGAACACTTGAACATAAGAAAGTAAGACTTGTAGCGTTAAAACTCAGAGGTGGAGCTTCGGCGTGGTGGGATCAGCTGGAAATTAATAGACAACGTTATGGTAAAAAACCCATTTGAAGTTGGGAACGCATGAAGAAACTCATGCGGGAACGCTTCCTTCCTGTTAATTTTGAATAAATTTTATATAATCAGTATCAAAATTGTAGACAGGGATCCAGATCTATTGCTGACTATTCTGAAGAATTTCACCGCTTGGGAGCTCGCACAAATCTATTGGAAGGACAACAACATCTTGTGGCAAGATTCATTGGGGGATTACGTTCGGATATTAAAGAACAGATCGCCCTCCAACCAATAGGTTATTTAAATGAGGCCATCTCTACGGCCACAACAATTGAGGAACAGGTGGGAAATCGATTCAAAAAACAGTACACCCGAAAGACCAATTGGGAACAAGGTGGAACTTCCAAGAAGCCTGCTTCGACGGGTGACAACAGTTCCTCTCCCAACCGTGCCATCACTACGACAAAAGGTAAAACTCTGGACACTGATTTAGTCAAGTCTAACCACACTGATTTGGTGACAGGAAAGAAACAGGGCAATATATACCATCGCCCTACATTAGGGAAATGTTTTAGGTGTGGACAAACCGAACATTTATCCAATGAATGTCCGCACCACAAGGTAATTAATATGGTTGAAGAGGATGCCCTACAAGAGGACAGCAGTGAGGAAATTGTTGATGATATTGATTATACGGCACCAGACGAAGGTGATATCGTTTCATGTGTGCTTCAACGAGTGCTGTTAACTCCTAAGTTCGATATTGCTTATCAACGACATGCCCTCTTTCGGACTAGGTGTACTATCAATGGCAAAATCTGTAATGTCATAATTGACAGTGGTAGCACTGAAAATATCATTGCTAGCAAGTTGGTTACCGCGTTAAACTTACCCCTATCACCTCATCCCGCTTCGTATAAAGTTTCTTGGATTAAAAAAGGAGGCGAGGTACAAGTGTCTCAAACGTGTTCGGTAGCTTTGTCCATTGGTGCTACCTATAAGGATCAAATTATATGTGATGTTCTTGACATAGATGTGTGTCATGTGCTATTAGGACGTCCGTGGCAATATGATACTCAGGCTTTACATAAGGGGAGAGACAATACTTATGAATTTCAATGGATGGGAAAAAGGTGGTTCTCCTCCCTGTTAACACATCTAAATCTATCCCTCTAAAGGATAGTGATAAAGGAAAGGGGAGTTTATTCACTATTACATCAGCCAAGCAATTATTAATCTGTCCTAAAGAACCTATCCTGGGATTGATAATAAAAGACTTTGCTACTCATACGGATGGTCCTATTTGTTCCCCTATCGTTCAAAAACTTTTAAATGAGTTTCCCACTATTATGGAGCCACCACCCGGCTTACCTCCCCTTCGGGACATTCAACATCATATCGATTTTTCCCCCGGAGCAACGCTACCTAATTTAGCACATTACCGCATGAGCCCATCGGAGTATAAGATACTACACGATCAAGTACACGAGTTGCTTCAGAAAGGGCATATAAAACCAAGCCTTAGCCCTTGTGCAGTCCCCGCCCTCCTTACCCCTAAAAAGGATGGTTCTTGGCGTATGTGCGTTGACAGCCGGGCAATAAACAAGATTACTATAAAATACCGTTTTCCTATTCCACGGATCAATGATCTATTGGACCAATTGGGTGGTGCTACAATTTTTTCTAAGATAGATCTTAAGAGTGGATACCACCAGATTCGCATTCGACCCGGGGATGAGTGGAAGACAACTCTCAAAACAAACGAAGGTTTATTTGAATGGCTCGTGATGCCATTTGGATTATCAAATGCCCCAAGCACTTTCATGCGGCTCATGAACCAGGTATTACTCCCGTTCATTAACAAATTTATTGTTGTTTACTTTGATGACATCCTAGTGTATAGCCAAACTATGTCTCACCATATGGACCACCTTAGATCACTATTTTCTGCTCTTGCATCCAATAAATTGGTCATAAACTTTAAAAAATGTCTTTTTGTAGCAAATGAAATTTCTTTCCTTGGCTTCATAATAGGACACAATCACGTAAAAATGGATCCATCTAAAGTACAATTTATTTCCGAATGGGAGGAACCTAAAACCATGAAAGACGTACAGTGTTTTTTGGGACTTGCATCATTCTATAGGAAATTTATTAGGAATTTTAGTTCTATTGTTTCCCCCTGACAAACTGTTTAAAAAAGGGCAAATTCTCATGGGATACTCCACAAACTGAGAGCTTTCAACTTATAAAGACAAAACTATGTCAAAGTCCAGTCCTTGCCCTCCCAAACTTTGACCTTCCTTTTGAAGTAGCTGTAGATGCCTCGGGGGTAGGAATAGGAGCAGTGTTATCCCAAAATAACCATCCGCTAGAATACTTTAGTGAGAAACTTAGCCTGTCTGGAGCACATATGAACAAGAACTTTATGCTTTAGTTCGAGCATTGAAACAATGGGAGCATTACCTCTTAAGTAAGGAGTTTGTTTTGTTCACGGATCATTTCTCCTTAAAATTTTTACACACTCAAAAAACCATTAGCCGCATGCATGCCCGTTGGTTGTCTTTTTTACAAAGGTTCGAGTTTGTTATCAAGCATAAGGCCGGGCATACTAATAAGGCTGCTGATGCTCTAAGCCGGAAACATAGTCTTTTAACACTCCTTAAAGGGGAGATTATTGCGTTTGAGTACTTACCTGATCTCTATGAGAAAGACCAAGATTTCAAAGACATTTGGCATAAATGCATTAGCCACTTGGCTGTCGAAGATTTTCATATAGTGGAGGGATATCTCTTTAAAGGGAACACCCTTTGTGTCCCTCATACATCGCTTCGGGAAGCAATTCTACATGACGCTCATGCTGGAGGTCTCGCCGGACACCTAGGCCGTGATAAGACATTGGAGATTATAACAGCACGATTTTATTGGCCTCACATTCGGAAGGATGTGGCCAATTATGTTAAGAAGTGCTTCACATGCCAATCATATAAGGGCACTACACAAAACACCGGCTTTACACACCATTACCTATACCAGAAAATATCTGGGAAGATCTGTCAATGGATTTTATATTGGGACTTCCCCGAACACAATGAGGCTATGATTCGGTAATGGTGGTGGTGGACCGCTTTAGCAAAATGTTACACTTTGTGGCCTGCAAGAAAACATCAGATGCGGTAGCTATTGCTACCCTATTCTTTAAAGACATCGTACGGCTTCACGGTATTCCAAAATCAATAGTCTCGGATCGGGACGTTAAGTTTTTAAGCCACTTTTGGCGCACACTATGGAAAAAGTTTGATACATCCTTAAAATTTAGTACAACAAGCCACCCTCAGACGGATGGACAAACGGAAGTCACAAACCGGTCATTAGGCAACCTCATTCGGTGCATAAGTGGGGATCATCCTAAACAATGGGATATTTCTTTGGCTCAAGCCGAGTTCGCGTATAACCACATGAAGAACAGAACAACAGGGAAGTCCCCATTCAAGATTGTATATACTAAGCTTCCTAGGCTAACTTTAGATCTCACTAATCTGCCTACATCTATTAATTTCAGTTTGGAGGCTGAAGAAATGGCTGACCGGATAATGGAGCTCCATCAGGAGGTTCGCAACCACATTGCCAGGACAACTGCCAAGTATAAAGAAGCAGCGGATAAAAAGAGGCGGCCAAAGGAATTTCAAGTCGGGGATTTGGTGATGATACACTTAAG